CCCCCCCTTTTGATTTTTTTGTTGACCCATTCAAGAGAATGTTGTTTAATCTCTCCATATTTATGTTTTTTTTCCCCAGCTTTCCTCTTGTTATTGATTTCTAGTTTCATTGTGTTTAGAAAAGGTACTTAGTATAATTTCAGTCTTCTTAAACTTTAATTTGTTTTGTGAATATCATGTGATTTATCCTGAAAAATACTCTATTTGCACTTGAGAAGGATATATACTCTACTGCTATTGGATGGAATGTTTTGGATATGTCTGTTGGGTTCATTTAGTCTAGTTTGTTTCAAGTCCATTGTTTCCTTATTGATGTTCTGTCTCAACAATCTATTTGTTGTTGAAAGTGAGGAATTGAGCTCCCTTATTATTGGATTATTTTCTATTTCTCTCTTTATGTCTGTTTATATTTTCTTGAAATATTATAGATGCTCTGATGTGTGTGTATATATTTGTTTGATTTGTTTTCTTGATGTAGTGGCATTTTACCATTACATAATAACTATCTTTGTCTCTTGTTACCATTTTAGACTTAAATTTTATATTGTCTTATTTTAGAATAGATTTTTTTTTGTTTTTGCTTGCATGAAGTATCTTTTGCTATCCCTTCACTTTGAATCTCTGTATATGTTTAGAGCTGAGGTGAGTGTCTTATAGATGGGTCTTGTTTTTTTAACCATCCAGCCACTCTGTGCCTTTGATTAGAGCATTCAATCCATTAATCCATTGTCCAATAAGAGTAATTATTGATAGGCAAGAACTTGCTAATGCCATCTTATTATTTTCTAGTGTTTCGTTGTTCCATTCCGCCTCCTCTCCCCCTTTATGCCTTCCTTTGCAATCAATGATTTTCTGTAGTGGTATGCTTTGTTTCCTTTCTCTTTATCTAAGTGAATCTATTTTAGATTTTTACTTTGTGATCCCATGAGGTTTACATCAAACATCTTGTAAAAATAAATCTATTTTATGTTGATAACAATTTAACTTTGCTTGCATGCCAAAACTCCATCTTTTACTCTCTCTCTTTGTACATTTTTGATGTCAACATTTACATTTTTATTGTGTCTCCATCCATTAACAAGTTGTTGAAGCTATAGCTATTTTTACAAAAATATGTATTTATTTATTTTAGAGAGAGAGAGAGAGAGCATGTGGAGGCAGAGGGAGAGAGAGAATCTCCAGCAGACTCACTGCTGGGCATGGAGCCCAATGCAGGGCTCAGTCCCATAAACCTGAGGTCATCACCCAAGCTGAAATCAAGAGTCAGACACATTACCAGCTGAACCAGGTGGGCACCCCTGTCTTTTTGTCATCTTAACTACACCTTAGACGCATCTTTTCATTTGGCTCTGTAAACTTTCTAGAGCAGAGTTTCTCTCATGTATTTGAAATCATGTTTGTTTTCTGGGCACACAGAATGTGCCAGGTGTAGTTTATTTTTTCCTGTTCTAGGTGGGATTTATATATCCTCTAAGATTCCTAGATCCTTTTAATAAAGAATACATATTACTTTAGATAAAGATGTAGTTTCTAGGGTCACTTTGAGAGTTTGTGGGTAAGTAATATTGTTGCTGTGGAAATACTTTGGTTGTGACAGTGTTGAAAAATATATGTGTTGTCAAATCTATAATTTTACTTCCTCCCACTTCCAACTTAACACAGTAGTATTTCATTCAAGATCACCAAATATGTATGTGTGTGTACATATGTGTGTGTGTATATATACTTAAAATAATATTGTAGCTTAAGGAAGAAGGCAGGTGAAGGGCCATATTTTGGAAGCTAGAATTTAAGAAGGATCTCTAAGCTGCTGGATACTTGTTTTTGTGATCTCAGGCTGCTGTAGCAAAATACCATAGATTAGTGGCTTAAACAACAGGAATTTTTATCTCACAGTTCTAGTGGCTGGGACTCTAGAGATCACAATGCCAGCATGGCTATAGGACACAACATTCAGTCCATGATGGCACTGTAAAAGAAGACAGGAACCTGATGATGTCTTTACCACAGAATGTTACATTTCCTTTTCCATTGCCTTAATAAGCTTATTTTCTCTCATCTAGGAAGATTTGGGGATTTAATCAACAGCTCCACCATCCCTTTCTCAACCCCAAAACAGAAGTTACTGTGTCTTTACATACAGTATACATACATTGTGTACATTAAAAGCTTTAGTTCAGGGGCGCCTGGCTCAGTCGTCTGCCTTTGGCTGAGGTCATGATCCCAGGGTCTTGGGACTGAGCCTCACCTTGGGCTCTGTGCTCAGAAGGGAGCCACCTTCTCCCTTTCACTTTCCCTCTGTGCTCCTTCAAATAAATTAATAAAATCTTTTTTAAAAAAAGCTTTAGCTCATTACTGGCATTATCTTTTGTCATCTTGCATACAACTTATTCAGCTTAGAGACATTTTTAAGGCATAATTTACCTCAAGCATGTAACATGTAATTTGAAAATATAACACCCCTCCCTAAAAAAAAAAGAAGAAGAAAGAAAGAAAGATGAAGGAATGTGTATTAAATTTTTATTAAGCATAATGATTATTCTTTTAGGCCATTGCTAAACTTTTTGTTTGAATGAATAAAAACAAATTGAGAAATTTCACATGACACACTAATCTAGTGATCTCAACATACTTCATGGAAATTTCTACTGGCTGTTTTTGGGTGTTGCTTTCCCAATTTCCTTTCGTCTTTGCTCTGTTTCTCAGAGTGAATCAAAGGAAACTTGTCTTTGAAAAGACTTCTTCTTTCAACTTGTCTTTTATGTAGAGAACTTTCTGATCTTACCAGAATAAGTAAGATTAATGTTCAATCTCAAGTACTTCTGAGGGTATACTCCTTACCCACAGAAATATACACTTGGGGCAAAATCAGAAGAGGCTTCTCATTCTCCCAACCACTGGACAGGAAGAGAATTAACCCACAATGGAGCAAGAAGAACCTCAAAATAAACGTGAGTACATTCTCTCCTCTCAGTTTTAAAGAAACAAATGTAATTATGACTAAGATTTAAAAATATAAATTAACGGTAATTATAGTTCTGAAGATTGAAGATGATGAAGAGGAGTTAGAGGAAATGACAATGACTTTGGTGAGGAGAAAGGTCATAGATAAACTCAAGTATGTTGGGTAAGAGAAACTTCTTTGTGAAACATACATTGGGCCAAGATGAGATAAATTATGCAAAAGAAAAATAAGATGGAAAGAAAGAGAGCAATTTGGGAAGATTCTTTTAAAGGTAAGAGGAGGAAGGAAGATAGACAAAACACACCAACTAAAGTTCACAGTTTACCTAAGGCTCTGACTTTATCCCATTTTGTGCTGTACTTAAGGGTCACAATGTATTTGTATTACAAGAATATTAAACAATATTTTTGAGAAATAGAACAAATATTATTATTTCTATGAAAGGATATTCATTGCAGTACTTTTAGAAACAGAAAAAAACACCAGAAACCAATACTTGCTTGTATATTACTAATAGTACAGATTCCAAATGATGGTGAATCTCTGTGATGGAATTTTGCAGTGATTCAAATAATCCTATATATTAGTAGGTGTTGACAGAAAAAGTCTCCAAGACATATTGTTACATAAAAAGCTGTATTTCAGGACCAGGGTACACTGTGGTCCCATTGAAGTTTGCCATGGTAGAGTGATGAGGTGAAGTAAAACATTAATTTTAATTATTTTAATTTTAATTATTAATTTTAAAATTATATATTTCTACAAGTACTGCAATGAATATCCTTTCATAGAAATAAGTTCAATTTTTCTACATGATAGAACTCTAGAATTGATATTGTTGTGGTAAATATGATGCACTTAGAAGTTGATAAGTGTTGCTAACTTGGTCTGTCTAAAAGCTTTCTAATTTATAGTTTAGCATAAACTATATGCTAACACCAAGAGAGTTTATTTTTCCTCAGTCTTGCTGATACTATATATTTTCTATTTTCTTTTAAAAATCTCATATGTGAAAAATTATACCATAATATTTTAGTTTGCATTTCTTTGAGCATACTTTTCTGTTTAATGATCATTCATAATTTCAGCAAACTAAATTTTCAGCAAATTTCCTGGTCAAACTTTTGCTCAGTTTTTAAGTTGCTTTTTGAAATTCTCTATACAGTCTAGACATTAATATTGTGAAAAAATTTTCTTTCATATGTCCCTTGTGTTTTAACATTATTTGTGTCATATAGAAGTTTTAATCTTTATGGAGCCAAATTATCAATTTTTTTATGATCTTTGAGTTTTCTGTCTTATAAAAAGCCTTTCCATTAAAAAAAGGTTATATTTTTATGTATGTATGTATGTATGTATGTATGTTTTTATCAGTAAATTCTAAAACTGATTTATTCAGGAGGAAATCTTTAAGCTCTCCTCTAGATCTAAAATATTGTGGATGAGCTCATATTTAGCTTACTTCTCAGTAGAATATATTCCCCAGTTCTTGTGGCAGAGAAGACAATGTATTTATCTTTCCTTTTGCCCTAGTCAGAGGCCAGCATTCCCAGATGATCTCTTGGGCCATTGCTGTTTTTTACATCTCAGTTCTCAGTGCTTGTTTTATTGCAAACTGTTTGGGTAAGTTATTAGCAGAAATGGAACTCTGTGAATTTCCCCAAACAACATTCATGAAGTTCCTCTAAGTCTTTTGTTATTTTGATTCCCCGTCCCAACATTTCAATCCATACTGCTTTTCAGGGTCTTGAATTTAAAATTCAGAGCTACATTTTTAACCTTTTGTCCTTTGATGGTGCTATCTTATGTCAGGGAATGAATGATGGAAGTTAAACCCTTTTCTAGACCTATGAAGGTTGGTGGCTGGAGTAAATCATTCCCCAGTTTTGACTGAGATTATAAGGGGCTGTATCTTATCAGTAAAGAATAACCAGCAAAAAACCAACTTTCAGATAGACTGTAGTCTGGCTTTGAAAAGAACAGTTGAAAGATTTGTTCTTTCTAGTAGCAAGACCTTGTATAAAATTATTATAATTACGATAATATAGTATAGGTGCAAGTACAGACAAATAGACCAGAGGAAAGGAATAGAAAGCTTAGTTACAGATCCTGCATATATGAACTGTTTATATAAAACAGAAGGGGATACTGCAGGTATAGGGAAAGGACAATTTTGTTCAATCAATTAAGACCATTGACTATCCTCATTCAAAAAATGAAATCTGTCCCCTGTATATCATGTATAAAACCAACCTGACATGAATTATTGGCCAAATGTGAAAAGCAAATCAATAATGCTTTTTAGAAGATAAATGAGAATATATTCATATCCTCAAGTCAGGGAATGATTTCTTAAGTCATAAAATGTGCTAGCCAGTGAAGAAGATATTGACAAATTATACTACATTAAAGTAAGAATTAGTGTACAACAAAAATACCAAGAAACAAAGCAGCCATAGAAGATGTTTATAATGCATATAATTGATAAAAAATTAATGTACAGTATATATAAACAATTCTTTCAAAACAATAGGAAAAAAGTCCTGACAATACAGCAGAAAAATAGGCAAAATTTTGAATAGGCACTATAGAAAAGAAAAATTGAAATGTTTAATGAACACATAAAAAATGTCAAGCTCATTAGTTTTCAGGGAAATGAAAATTCAACTCACAAAATGAGATACCATTGCAAACATACCAGGATGGCAATAATTAAAAATTCTAGTGCTATTAAGTATTGATGATGATGTGGAGCAACTGAAACTCCCATGAACTGCTGCTTATGGGAGCATAGAGCAGTACAACCACTTTGGAAAACTTTGCCACTATCATATTGGCAATATGCATATTTTATTACCAGCAATTCCACTCCTAGGCATATAGCCTACAGAAATGTATGCTCATGTGCTCTAGGATGCATGGTCAAAAATGCTCAGAATTGTATCATTCATAATCGCCAAACACTGGAAGCAAAGCAAATGTCTACCAGAAGAAGGCTATACATTTTAGTGCATTAAGACAGTAGATCACATTATAGTATTAAAAATAAATGGATTATAGCTGTATGTAACAATAAAAATAAATTTCAGAAATAACACTGAGCAAAAGACTGAACCAAAAGAATGCATATTTTATCATTTTATTTATATGACGTTCAAAAGCAGGCAAATCTGATCTGTAGGGTTTAGGGATATGTTATCAAGGAGTAAAATTTGAAGCAAAGCACAAAATGATTGGTTTAAAAGCCATGGTATAGTTACCCTTAAGAAAGAGGAAGTGGGTTGTATTTGGGATGTGAAAGCCACCTGAGGTATTGGCAATGTTGTGTTTCTTAAGCCAGATTGTTGTTACCTAGAGTGTTCACTTTATAATAATTTGATAAACTGTACATTTGTGTTTTTCACTTCTTTGCACTTGATTATGTTTCAAAGTAAAAATATTTATTTATTTATTTATTTATTACTTATTTTGGGAAGAGAGAAAGGGAGAGCGAGTGTGTGAATGGGATGGGCAAGGGGTGGTGGGAGAGAGAGAAAGAGAGAGAGAGAGAGAGAATATCTTAAACAGGCTCCATGCACAGCACAGAGCCCAATGTGGGGTTTGATTTCACAACCCTGAGACTATGACCTGAGCCAAAATCAAGAGTTAGATGCTCAACCGACTGAGCCACCCAGGTTTCCCTCAAAGTAAAAATATTTAAAGATAAGAGAATGTATCTAGCTGATAATACTTGGCAGAACTATCCCAGTATTCTCTAAAAATCTCCACTCTAAAACAGATTCTGATAGAAAAATATGCTTAAAAGGTTAAAGGTTTGCAGAACTACTCCCATAAACCACAAAATGGATGATAATAAAATATTAATTTTTGACAATTCTTTTCAACCTATTCACCTGGGGCTGGAACAGAGGAACTGGGTAATAAGAATAAGGGTTAGTTACCTTAACTCTTAGGAGAAGAGAGGGACCAGAGTGACCAGCTCCCATTTCCCTAAGTAAGTGATTATATAGGAAAATAAAACTAACTCTTTTCCCCTTTGACAGTAACTCATCACAACATTCTACGCTGCAGGAGAGAAGCAAGAGTGTTCAAGTTACCAGAGTACCACATGAAGCTGACATGCACCAGAGAGAAATCAAAATTGAAAGGTAGATAGAAAAGAGCATAGGATAATTTCTTTCTTACTTCCATTTCCTTTTTTAAAATTAACAATTCATTTTATTTTATTTTTTCAGTGTTCCAAGATTCATTGTTTATGCACCACACCCAGTGCTCCATGCAATATGGGCCCTCCTTAATACCCACAAACGGGCTCACCTAACCCCCCACCCCCTTCCCCTCTAAAACCCTCAGTTTGTTTCTCAGAGTCCACAGTTTCTCATGGTTCATCTCCCCCTCTGATTTTCCCCAATTCACTTATCCTTTCCTTCTCCTAATCTCCTCCATGTTATCCCTTATGCTCCACAAGTAAATAAAACCATATGATAATTGACTCTCTCTGCTTGACTTATTTCACTCAGCATAATCTCTTCCAGTCCCGTCTATGTTGATACAAAAGTTGGGTATTCATCCTTTCCGATGCAGGCATAATATTCCATTGTATATATGGACCATATCTTCTTTATCCATTCATCTGTTGAAGAGCATTTTGGCTCTTTCCATGGTTTGGCAATTGTGGCCATTGCTGCTATGAACATGGGGGTACAGATGGCCCTTCTTTTCACTACATCTGTATCTTTGGGGTAAATACCCCGTAGTGCAATTGCAGGGTCATAAAGTAGCTATTTTTAATTTCTTAAGGAATCTCCACACTGTTTTCCAAAGTGGCTGCACCAGCTTGCATTCCCACCAATAGTGTAAGAGGGTTTCCCTTTCTCCACATCCTCTCCAACACATGTTGTTTCCTGTCTTGTTAATTTTGGCCATTCTAACTGTGTAAGGTGGTATTTCAATGTGGTCTTGATTTGAATTTCCCTGGTGGCTAATGATGATGAACATTTTTTCATGTGTCTTTGGAGAAGTGTCTGTTCATGTCTTCTGCCCATTTTTTGAGGTGATTATCTATTTTTTGAGTGTTGAGTTTGAGGAGTTCTTTATAGACCTTGGATATCAGCCCTTTGTCTGTAGTGTCATTTGCAAATATCTTCTCCCATTCCATGGGTTGCCTCTTTGTTTTTTTTTTTTTTTTTTAAGATTTTATTTATTTGACAGAGAGAGAGATCACAAGTAGAGAGAGAGAGAGGAGGAGGAGGCAGGCTCCCTGCCTAGCAGAGAGCCCGATGTGGGACTTGATCCCAGAATCCCGAGATCAGGACCTGAGCTGAAGGCAGAGGCTTAAACCACTGAGCCACCCAGGCAGCCCTGCCTCTTTGTTTTGTCTTACTTCCATTTCCATTCAGATTCAGAGTCCAATTTAAAGTAATCAGTAGTAAATGAGGAGAGATTAGAACAATAGGAGTATCTGGTACAAGAGTAAACATCAATAAATAGAAATAGATTTCTCATGACTGTAATTAGTTGAATAACTGGAGAATATAACAACACATTTAGGATCCATTTTTGGCATCCAAAACATAACATTAGTTTAATTCCATTTTCTTTTGATTCAGGCATATCTTAAGGACTTCCCTCCTAGAATATACAGCTTTTCCAAAGTGACTTTGTCTCTTATATTTTGCTAGAATCTGTAAAATCCCCCATCCTTTGGGAGGATGGGCAAATGCTTGAGAGTTCTAGTAGGTTCTCTACCCTCTTTAGATAAAATTACCTGCTTTGTTCTAGAAGCACTTCAAAAATAGAAGTAAATACATGGACATTGAAAAATGATGTTGTCTTCTAAGAGAATATCTTACGATTTCCATATAAGTCACTATGTGATTCAGATACTTTTGCTCAGAAATATTTAGAAATGCAATTTTCAGGATTTTTTAAAAAGGGGAACAAAATGACATTGGTAATCTTGGTATTATTTCCAAAAAATATTAACTGGATAGTTAGCAGAATAACTATGCAATCTCTTAGAGATAAAATGCTCCTTTGCAACTGATTTTCATTTCAATTTTCTTATGAGGGACCACCTGGAATTGTTGTCCTTTTGGCTGGAGAGCATTCCAGTCCAACTGCTATTTTCCTCTTAATGACAACAAGACATGGGTTAAGAGCGAAAGGAACTGCATGAGGATGGGGGCTCATCTGGCCACCATCAGCACAGAAGCTGAGCTGGTATGTTGGAAGGCTCAAATCCATCTCTCTGCTCTTTGAATCTCTTTGCATAGAAAGAGGAATTTCTCTGTTCTGCCTCTATGCCTTTGCTTCATCTGTTTTATCTTCCTTGCTCATTTTTCTTCATCTGGCCAACTTTTGGTCTTTCCAGATTTGATTCACATGTTATTTCCTCCAGAAAACTACCCTGACCACCTTCCCTATGCCATCCTCCCTGTTCTAATTTGGAGAGACACCTGTGGTACTTTGTGCACTGTGTGGTCATGGCACTTACACTGTACTGAGGTTATCTGTTCACTGCTCCCTGTCTGCCAATGACTCTCCTTTGCAGAGGTCTGTGGCTGTGCTCTCCTAATCTTTGCATCTCCAAAGTCCTGCACAGTGCTAGGGACACTGGATAGGTCTTGATAAATGTTTGGTGAGTAAGTGAATAAATGAATGGTTAAGCAGGACTGAAATAGCTTCTCAGGAGAAATCATAAGAAATACAATTCAGTAGCATGGTTGTAACTCTAAGTAAAAAAAATTCTTAAGTTTCATTCAGTTCTTTAAAGCACTTCTTTTTTTTAATTTTTAATTTTTTAAAGCACTTAAAAAAAAAAGACTTTATTTATTTATTTATTTGACAGAGAGGGATCACAAGTAGGCAGAGAGGCAGGCAGAGAGAGGGAGAAGCAGGCTTCCCGCTGAGCAGAAAGCCCGATGTGGGGCTTGATCCCAGGACCCAGGGATTGTGACCTGATCTGAAGGCAGAGGCTTTAACCCACTGAGCCACCCAGGTGCCCCTTTTTAAAGCACTTCTTAAAACACAATTTCCTCTTGTAATATACTTCCATATGTATATATATATATATATATATATATATACACACACACACATACACACACTATATGCATATATATAGTATATATGTAACTCACATTCTACTCTTTTCTTAGGGAGGTTTCCCAGAGGATTCTGTCCCCATGGCTTTGCAATCTATAGGTTCACCAACTTTTTGAATAAAATGGAACTTAATTTAATACACACATGCATAAAAGGCAATTTTAAAAATGAAAGTTTTAAAAAATGTGATCCTATTAAACATTGTGCTAAGTGATTTGCAAGCGTGATCTCACTTACTCATCACAGTAACTCTGTGCAGTAGTAGAGTGGTCCTTTTGGAGATCAGAAATCTTGGGTTTGGTGAGATTAGAGCACTTACTGCATTACACAGTAAATGGCAGAGGCAGGATTTGAAAGCACATCTGTCTGATGACACTGCTTTTGTGCTTAGCTAATAATCTGTCTGACCATTTCTCTTTTCCTAACATAATAGCTTTTCCTAACATAACATAATATTGTGTTAGCTATTATGTCACCTAACATAATAGCTATCAAATGATAAATGCAAATATACTTATAAAATTATAATTTTTATAAAATTTTTGTGTAATTATACAAAATTTATATTTTTATGCAGAACTTTATTACTCAATTTTTGGAGAGACGATTTTCATATTTCCTGGGACTTAGAGATGAGAATCATGGAGGCCGATCCTTGGTGAACAAGACAGCATTTAACCCACGTAATTTGTGAGTATGTTGACTGGGGTGTAAGAGCTTTATAGGCAAAGCTGGGAAGATAGCAAGCAGAATTCATTTGGGCTGCAGTATACTGATGTAGGAATGCTTACTCAGAATAGAGCACTATGTGTTGAGTAACCCCTATACTAATATACTATGATACTTCTATTAGTGCACTCCGTATTTTTCACCAAAGACATTTTCCCTGCATGTCTCCTGACCTACACATACACACACACTCACACACACACATAAATATAAATATAAATATAAATATAAATATAAATATAAATATAAATATAAATATTTTTCTTTCATTTCAGATTATGGCATGAGGGTGAACCCAAAAATCAGGAAGAAAATTGTATTGTCCTTGTTAATGTCCAAGACAAATGGACATGGAATGATTCTCCTTGTAACTTTGAGACAAAAAGTATTTGTAAATTACCTGGAACAGCATTCAACTAGAAACCTCCAAAGAAGTCCTTGTGATGGGGACAGAAAAGAAGAACCAATTAGACTAGGGAAGAATGTACCTGCACCATTGGAACAGAGAAAACCTGCTGAGAAAATAGAAAAATTTTAGTTATGATGGCCTTATTTATTTTTGTTCTATTCATTCAAGATACTATGTTTTTGTGTGGTATGGTGGCAGGAGTCATCTTTTCTGTGAGAATTCATTTTCATTAACGTTGCTTTCTTGATAGTATATCAGAGTATTTCCTTTTCAGTTGGTGTGCATTGATGACATATCAACCAAAATGGCTCAGATGATGCCATCTCTTAGTCATTGCTTTCCTCTGCTCAGATTTTTACAAGGTGGGGTATTCCAACTGGTAGTGGTATGCCATTATTTTGGCCCCAGTTATGATAAACTCTTTAATTTTTTTTAAGATTTGTGTATTTATTTGAGAGAGAGAGAGAGAATCTCAAGCAGATTCCCCACCAAGCACAGAGCCTGATGTGGGGCTCAACAAGGGGTTCAATCTCACAACCCTGAGATCATGACCTAAGCTGAAATCAAGAGTCAGTTACTCAACTGACTGAGCCACCCAGGTGCTCCCTAATCTATTTCTTGCAGTCTGATTATTTTTCAGTACCTCTTTGGTGCCCACCACAGACCACCTTTCTTACCTGGATTATTGCAATAGCCTTCTGAATGGTCCCCCTGTTTCTCCCCTCAGCCCCTTTCAGTCTGTCCCCACCTCTCATGGCACTTCTCCTATTCTTCAAAATTTCTTTAAGACAGCTGATAGTAATTTCATAAAAATAACTGCAAAATTTATTAGGACACTGTGGTAGTCCTAGAAGTTTGAAACACTTAAAAAAATTAAACACTGCGGGGGGTGGGAGGTTGGGGGAGCCAGGGGGTGGGTATTAAGGAGGGCACATATTGCATGGAGCACTGGGTGTGGTGCAAAAACAATGAATTCTGTTATGCTGAAAAGAAATTTAAAAAAATTAAAAAAAATTTAAACACTGGTTTTGTCTTTGAAAAAGTATGATATGTATATGTTAAAAAGGCAAACCAGAAAATTATAAATGAAAGTATGAGTTAAATCTTCCACCCTGAACTCCAGTCCCTTAAATGCCTCTTTAGAGAAACTATGATCGTCAGTTTCTTATACATATTTCTGTATATGTTTAAATACATGTTATATAAATGTATATACATATACAACCCATTTTTTTCTAACACTAGTGGAAACATTATCTATAGCATCTTAAATGTCTTGCAATTTTTTTTCTCCCATGAATCTCAGGGGTTTTGTCTCTTTGTTTTTCATCATGATCAGGGTATTCTTTGATCCCCATCTCTTCTTTCCCCCTTTCCCTACCACCTCTCCTCTGGTAACCACCAGTTTGTTCTCTATAATTAAAAGTCTGTTTCTTGGTTTGTCTCTCTCTTTTTTTTCCCTTGCTCATTTGTTTTGTTTCTTAAATTCCACATATGTGAAATCATGTGGTATTTGTCTTTCTCTATTTCATTTAGCATAATAACACTCTTGTGCAAATGGCAAGATTTCACCCGAGTAATATTCTGTTGAGTGTGTGTGTATGTATGTGTGTGTGTGTGTGTGTATTTATTTGTGTGTGTGTGTGTGTGTGTGTGTGTGTGTATATATATATACATACACATATGTGTATTTGTGTATATATATATATATGTATATATATATATATACACACTATAATGTTGTATGTGTATAATTCTGTTGTGTGTGATGTGTATATCACTCTTCTTTATCTATTCATCAATTGATGGACATTTGGGCTGCTTCCATAGTTAGGCTACTATAGATAATGCTGCAATAAACATAGGGGTGCATGTATCCCTCTGAATTAATGTTTTTATATTCTTTGGGTAAACACCCAGTAGTGTGATAGTATGGCAGTTCTATTTTTATTTTTTTGAGGAACATCCATACTGTTTTCACAGTGACTGCACCAACTTGCATTCTCACCAACAATCTTCTTCACATCCTTGCCAACACTTGTTGTTTTTTGTGTTTTTGATTTTAGCCATTCTCACTGGTGTGAGGAGATATCTCATTGTGGTTTTGATTTGTTTTCCCCTGATGATGAATGATGTTGAGCATCTTTCATAGACCCATGAAAAGATTTTGTCTTCTTTGGAGTAATGTCTGTTCATGTCTTTTGCTTATTTTTTAATTGGATTATTTGTGTTTTTGGGTAATCATCTTGCATTTTTTACTTAAAAATATGGTTTGGGAAATGTTTTATACCTTGTTCCAAATAACTAAATAGTGTTTCATTATATTGGTATATCATAATCTGAAATAACCTTTAAGTGATAAAATATTTCCTTTGTCTAATAAAAATCAACAAAATAATGGCTATGAAAGAAACCATAAGAACAATCCCAGTTCAGATCAGAAAAGGAAGACAGTTCCAAGAGGATTTCTTTTCCTCTTAAAAATATGGGACTGATAGAATGTATTTGAATGCATTGAGAGGTGATGTACAATTCTGCGTAGTTAAGGGACGCATTATTAATCAGTACATAGAAAACTATTGATATATAAAAAATGCTGCCAATATTAGCTATACAAAAAGCAAAATGTATTTAAGAAAGTATGTAATATAATACATAATCATGATACAGTACAAGATTCAGCTGTGATAACATTTACATATTCATGATAACATATGAGTAAAAATTTTTGATAATGAGTGTGTATTATTTTCACCAAATCTATTAGAATGATTTTTCTTTAAAATATTTAGAGGCCCACATGGTAATATTTACATCTTAACAGTGATTTACTTTGGGAATATGGTCTTGGGACTATAGATGATTGCTTACTCTTTTATTTTTTGGAAATTTCTGGCTTTTCTGGTGCCTGAATATTTTTGTAGGCCCTATTGTAAAAGTATATTTTAAAATAGAATCAACCAGATGATGTACCCCTCAGAATTTTCCATATAAATAACTTGGTTTCTGTTGATCTTTAACCAGTAAACCCTGAGTGATTGTTTCTTTTCTTGCCAAACTTTGAAGACAAAGTTAATTGCATAACAAATTATAAATATATGGTGAATAAAGTATACTAATACTTTCATATATCTTTCAATATTGAAATAAAATTTAAAGATTTTATTTATTTATTTATTTGACAGAGAGAAAGAGATCACAAGTAGGCAGAGAGGCAGGCAGAGGGAAAGGGGGAAGCCAGCACCCCGCTGAGCAGAGAGCGCAATGCGGGGCTCGATCCCAGGACCCTGAGATCATGACCCGAGCCAAAGACAGAGGCCTAACCCACTAAGCCACCCAGGTGTCCCTGAAATAAAATTTAAAATAACAAATTATAGCCAACCACAAAGAAACAATGGTGAATAAAAGTATTTCCATATGTCTTTCATTGATGTTTATAATTTGAAAAAAGGAAACTAGAAAGTAGAAAATATATGTACTGGATTACTTTTGGGTCAAATGACTTTAGATTTAAAGGCATATTGGTTTTAAAACCACACGTGGTCTCTTATACCTAAGAAGAATAAACATTTTTAAGGAAAGATAATATATTCACTTACATAGTTGAATTTTCCCATTTCATGATTACACATTCATTCCAATGTATGAATTTGGAGGGTCTTTTTATGGTGCTGTGTGCAAGAAACATGGTTATTAAAGGTACTGTGTTATTTAAATATTCTTGAATAACCTTATCAGTACTGAAAAAAATATGCTAGTAGTGGATAGGCTTGAGATAGGAAATTGTCAAGCTGAATGTTCTCTTCAAACAATTTGACTGTTGGACCCTAGCTGAGCAAGAGCCACAAACTGAGGTGAGATTCAGTTATTCGGTGGAAGAGAAGAAAAAGAAAAGGGAGTTCTTGGGATGAACGGACTGAATCATAGTCTGTTTGGAGCCGAAGCTCAGCATGGATTTTTCCTAGCGAGGCATAGTCAAGGCCATTACCTGGGAAGTCCACATGTCTTTGAAGCAGGGATAAGCTTCATGACTTGAGGGAGTTTCTTACTCATTGTACAGGAGAACATAGTGAAGATACTTGCTCGGGCAGAGGTAAAAATGGTATGCAATTGAGAAGAGAATGTAGACTTTTCAGGAGCCAGAAAGAAGAATTGACCAGAGCCTGAATTCAGGGGCTTCAAAGTCACTTTGAAAATCCTATTCTTGCTGTGCTCTGTTCTTGCTCTGTGTCCCTGTATTTTTCCATCAGTCTTCACAAATGAAGCAAATGTGCCCAAAGGAGCATGCTTTTCTTTTCCTGACATTTGTTCTAGAATTTATTGGTAAGTTTCGAGAAGTCCTGAGACTAACATGGAGAGACATGCATGTCAATTAGCATCACAAATTATAACATTCAAAACGACTCATTTTTATTGGTAGCAAAAGCAACGAAGTCCTCCCGATGTCCCTAAGGAGTCCTCATTAATGCCGAACACACTTCTCTCCGGTTGGAGCTATGTTCATGCTCTTGTGCCTCCATATTTATGCATTTTAGTTGTGCTTTCTGCTCTTAGAGAATTTTTCTGTTGCTTTAGACATTTATTTCTGGCATTTCACAAATCCAAAAAATACTGAAGAAACAGGGCACATCATTCCAATTTTTCCTGGGATTTGAAGAATCTCGGATGGTGGCACAGTCCTCCACTGTCACTAAATTATTGGGCTCTCCGACATCCCAGAAGCTGAACGAGAATAATCATGCAGGAGATTTAAAATCCCAGCTACAAGAAGCCAAGTGACCTACATGCTAGGCAAATGACATTTGTGTTGTATCACTTCACAACACTTTTGTTAGGCATTGTAATCTCCATTTTATTTTTTAATTTAAAAATATTTTATTTATTTATTGGACAGAGATAGAGAAAGTGCATAAGCCGGGGGAGAGAAAGAGGGAGAGGGAGAAGCAGACCTGACCCCAGTACCCCAAGATCATGACCAGAGCCGAAGGCAGACACTTAACCAACTGAGCCACCCAGGTATCCCTATAATCTCCATTTTGTTGATAAGGAAAATGAATCCCAGGAAAGCTAAACCATTTGTCTAAGTCATAGAGTTTATGAGGAGTGAAGCTGAACTGCATATTCCTGATTTTCTATTCTGTCATGCTCCCTCATGGCTGTCGACCCATAACGAGTGGCTATTGATATTCTGGTGGATGTGTTTCCTTTGAAGCTCTGATATTCTCATGGATTTGTTTCCTTCACACTCATATCTCATCTTACCTTTGGTTCCCTTTATTCCACACTGAGTCTGTATTCACGTAGGTACATACTTCAGTGGTGTTATTGTGCTGTAGTGAAGCGACTTTCTCAAGTTTCAGGGCATCTGGGCTGTACTCTTAGAACGGACCTTAACCTTCCTGACCTTTAGTTTCCTCAAATGCTAAGTAAAGATTAATGATACCCATGTATACCAGAAAGGTGTAATTTAGGTAAAATGAAATAATGAATGAGAGAAAAACTTTGAAAACTCCGAAGTGCTGTGCAGTAACAAAGTAAGGTCATTATTAAGGAGAAAAGAGACATTAACAAGGGGGTTCCATGCTCTTACTCCATAACTCCACTTTCTTAAATCATTATTTTTGTCTTATTTACTAGTTTGGGGCATAAGACTCTGAATTTCACTCTGTCTCTGCTGCATTTCCAATGAATTAGTCTTTAATTCTAACCCTCTCTTTTTCATCTGTTATTTCCCCTGTATTCAGATAGTCTCAGGAAATGGGGGCACTAGATCCTCATGCTTCCTTTGTCTGTCTTCTTGCAAATTGTATTATGAAGGGTTGACCCAAAGATATCTTGTGGAACAGGAGGAGGTTCTGCGAATTCCCTGCAGCAATGGTCTAACTTTGATTTGACACAGTGTTAAAATTCTCCTGCAAGAAGGAAATTACCTGAGAGATTCTGAGAAAGGTGTTCCATCTACCCATTGCCACTGACCCTCGTTCACCTGGTCTGTCAGTCCAATATAGAACTCTCTCCTTTTAGGTTTCGCAAAGAAAAGGAATTCCTATGTAAGCAACACAATAAAAAAAATAGATCAATTATTTCAATTTTGAACAAATGTTGAAGGCAATTGTTCTTAAGAGAAATAAAGTAGGACAAAGCCTGCAGATGATAAGTGGCTCTGAAATTGTAAGATCATGGAGAATTATCTCCTGATTCTTTTTATTGTGGTAAAAATATGCATACCATAGAATCAAATCTTTAACAGAGAAGGAGGTTCTCAATAACTAATTCCAAGTTTACCTACTGTTATTTGTAGCAAAATCTACTGTATATATCCAGCATGAAACATTATTAATCACAGCGTAAGGATAGTGGCCATACCTTTGACATATCTGACATAATCATATGATACGCTCATCAATGTAATGGCCATTCTAAAATGAACTCCCAGCCCTTTTCTCCCCCCATCTTCCTAATAAAGAAACAGAACATAGAAATCCCTTCGTTTTAGGCTCTTCTCAAGATGAAAATCGAGTAAGTATCGACTTACAGAAATAGTAGAAATGGCATGCATTTCAATACATTCATTTAACAAATAGTAGCTGTGGCCCAAACACTGTATGCACGTATGGAGAAAGGGATAGATGCTGAGAAGAAGGTCGCACGGACATTGGAGGAGGCTGCACTCCAACTACCTGTTCCTCCCGCGTGTTGATAACAACAAGATGAGCTCCCATGTCGGAGCAGTTTTTTAAACTCGATGCCCAGGACATGGTGTTAGTAGAAAAGAAGTAGCAGCCAGATTGAAAATGTACCCAGTTTGATGGACAGCAATTCTTGACTGAACCTAGGAGGAGAGAAGTTTCCATGAGTGCTCTAGCCCGGAGGAGCGTCATATAGCATTTTGTTAAGACTTGGAATACGACTGTATATGTAATAGCATAGGGAGTAAATTTCTGAAGTATTTGCAAATTCCCTCATCTATATATATATTTTTCTCCTTCACCCCATTTGGAAGCAAGTGAGGAAAAGAAAATGCATTCCTGGAGACAAAATCTTCCTCTTTCAGGTTCTATTGAGACATACCTCAGATTTATTCTAAAAGTTTTCTAAAACGTCTCCAAGATTTCCTGTCCCGATGCTAATTGCGTTTCCGAAGTTCTAGAACTGTCTTCCTACCGATTCCTCAGCATTCTCATATAGTACAGGCAAGATTTTACATTTTGTTTTTGAAAAACAGAACATCATCCAACCACTTTACTTGTCCCCAAATCAATCTAGAAGCCAAAAAAAAAAAAGTGTCGATATAGGGGCCCCTGGGTGGTTCAGTCGATTAGCGTCTGCCTTTGGCTCAGGTCATGAGTCCAGGTCCCCGGATTGAGCCCTGCATCAGGCTCTCTGCTCAGTGGTGAGTCTATTTCTCCTTCTGCCCCTCCCTGAGGTTCATGCTTGCACTCTCTGTCTCTCTCTGAAATAAATGAATCAAATCTTTAAAAAAAAGTGTCAATATATAAATGCTGATGTTCAAGTTTGAGGACTATTATACCCAATCCATCCCTGGAGCAGGAGAAGTCCATGAATGCCTCATGTAGCTGGAACTTATTCTCATCACAGAGTTGAAGGACACGATATGTCACTGTAAGGAAAGGTGCAGAGTTAATGTTCATTATCTTGAAAAAAATAAATATTATCATTTTTGTATTTATAATGAAAGTACCAATAATCATCATGGTTTCTTTTTCTTTTCTTTTTTCCTATTTGTCCTTCTATACAGAGAGACAACAAGATTTACCTACTCAAAGAAAGAAGAGGGAATTCACATTTCATGATTTTCCTGATTTATGAAGGTGAATGTATTTTATCTCAGGTCCAAAGGCCCAGAGAAAACAAATGCATCTTTACTCTCTCTATGCCAACCCTCCCTACCCTTCTTCCTAAAAGCGATTTTGTCATGCTTCTGGTTAGGATCCCATAGAGAAGTCTACCCTAAAGATATGAATGCAAAGGGAAGGACACAGGCCGTCAAGGAGATGAAAAATGTCTATCATGAAAAATGTGTCAGAGGTCACTGAAATTTGGTAACTATTCTGTTCTAGTTGGGGTTCTAGTTGAGCAATAACCTGGAGATAAATAGGGAAGAAAGTGGAACAGAAATACCTTTTGAGTGGGAGGAGAACCCAAAGGCAACAAGAAAGATTTTACCCCTAATATTCACCAGGGAGATTAAACTTGACCTTTCAAACTCACCAATACATCTGGTGATAAAACAGGCGCTGAGCAGTAGCATGGAGACCCCAGCAACAGTCCATAAGAGAACTTGGGAAGACAAGCATCTTTTCTCTGTAGAAAGAAATACGCAAACATAGTCAATCTTCCCTAGCAGGTTACAAAAGAGATTCTTACCCAACCACTTAGTTCCTTCCACTCGCACTGTTCTATATGCAGTAAGTTTCAAACTTCAGCATGCATCAGAATCATCTGGAAGGTCTGTTGAAACACAGATGAAGGCACTTCGCCTCTAGAGTTAATGTTTCATGAGACCTGGTATTGAGCCAGCAAGTTCCCAGAACCATCTTTCAGAACCACTAGATTCGCTAATCTTAAGATTCGTGAACTGAGATGGGCAATTTTTCCTTCCTAAGTTTCCCAGATTTTCCCCCTTCTTTTCCTATTTTTCTCTTTCCCATTTCTCCCTCTTACCTTCTCTGTTTTTTTTGTCTCTCACCTGCTCTCCTCTTTTCGGTGTCTTATTTCCCAAGCTCTCTGTCAATCAGATCAGATAAAACGCGGGCCAACCTCTAGTAGCTCCTCTCCCCCTCCCTCCAGATACACATTTTACAGACAGAGAAAGTGGGTTCTAGAGAAGTGAGGTGACTTGCCCAACACAACACAGGGAAAGGGTGGGCAGAGCGGTCTGATTCAGCTCTCCCTGGAATCCAGCCCAGCGATCCTCTGTACAACATACGGTCCCTAACCACTGCCTCCCTCATCTTCCTCTCTTGCGTTCTGTCTCTGTCTCCCTTCTTTTGTTCTAGTGGAGACTTTTCTATTGTCCCTTCCCTCAAAATATTTATCACCTCTTCCCAAAAGAAAGATCTATGAGAGAAAAGGAGAGTTGCAAATTTTACCTGTGCCTTGTGATGTAGATGGTTGGGATGAATTCATTCTCTCTCTCTCTTTCTCTCCTCTCGTCAGTTTCTGAATCCAGGAGTATTTTGTTGGTAAGATTCAAGAAAAATGATTCTTTTTCTGTTTTTTAGGAAGTGTGACCCTAAGACATCATAATATCAACGTGTTCTGTGGCTTTGTGTTTAAGTCAGGGTTTCCTTTCTTGCATAAGGACGACAAGGGATTTTACCAGGAGACACATCTGTCTCCTCAGTTTAGGAAACAACTAAATGGGGAAACGGTGAGGTGGTTAAGTATCAGCAGATTGGACTGAGCATGTGGACACATCAGGGGCTTAAAAATACAGTTTTATTTTGGTGGGTAAAATTTCTCTACTTTCTTCCAGGCATCACTCATCCTTCGGTCTGCCCTTGACATTTGTGGGGCCCTCCTCCGCACTTCCAGTTTCCCCTTCGGTCCTTGCCACCACACATTTGTTAACTGGAAAGGGGACAGACTCCAAGTCTTCACACTTGGCACAGAGCTGGGCATGTTGTATATGCATTTACAACTTGGCCGTGTGAATTCCTTTTCCTATTTTATGTTTTCTTTTTCCTACTTCCTTCACTTGCATCTCTTGAACCTTCTGGATTTCTCTCATGCTGTGTATGTTGCATTGTGGGTTTATATCTCTTTTATCAAAGTGCTTACCCCTAGGCGATCTCACAAGTCCGCCCCAGTTGAATTGCCTCATGTGGTATGACTACTTTGAAATTCAGATCCATTCCCTATGTCAAAACACAGCTCTGGAGCCCTTGAGACTCAGCAGGTAGTTTCATTCTATTTTTCCAAATTATTTGGGGATTTTTGTTTTATATTAGGGCCTGTATTAGGAGAAATAAACTTGAATGTCAGAAGAAGTAATTTTAATTAGACATGAAAATATAATGCTTCTCTGGAAAGTTAGTTAGATGTAGTAATGTTCCACTCCCTTCCTTAAAAATACTTAAGATCAAACTGGTCTCTATTGATTAAAATTCACAAGTGTCAGGAGGCATTAGCAAAATAAGTAAGTAAGTAAATAACTTATTTGTATGTATAAAAAATCACCTGGTAATCCCCATGCCAATGAGTCACAGCCTTCACATCTTAGAAAATATCCTTGTTCTCAAAGGGACTTTTTATTGTTTCAATGTATTGCTCAATTTCCTCTGCATCCTCCATTTTATAGTTCTATGGATTTAATAAAGAAAACTTTAAAATTCTACATGTATATATTATAAAATATATGCATATCTAACATGGGTCTTATCAGCAAATGGTTTTTGAATAGCAAAAAGAAATTATCTAGTGGCTGAGTTAAATGAATTATTAAATGATGAATCATGACTACAGTCAATTATTTATTAAGATAAGTCAGTAATAACTAATATCAATAAACAATTCTGTTAATAATTTTATGAATATTCAATTGACTAATATTAATAATCAACAAATTAATATGTTAATCAGTCAAAATACATATGTTTTTATCCTTTGTTTTATTACTTTTTCTAAATTATAAAAGTAGTATTTTTTAAGATTTTGTTTATTTATTTGACAGAAAGAGAGATCACAAGTAGACAGAGCAGCAGGCAGAGGGAGAGGAGGAAGTGGGCTCCCTGCTGAGCAGAGAGCCCCATGCGGGACTCGATCCCAGGACCCTGAGATCATGACCCAAGCCGAAGGCAGAGGCTTAACCCACTGAGGCACCTAGGCGCCCCTAAAACTAGTATTTTTATGGTTAACAATATAAGAAGAATGTGGCAAGTAAAAGACCTCCCATCCATCTTAAGCACACTCTTCTAAAGTCAACCATACTTGGGGTGCTTGGGTGGCTCAGTCAGTTAAGCATCTGTCTTTTGCTCGGGTAATGATCCTAGAGTCCTAGGATCAAGTCCCGCATTAGGCTCCTTGCTCAGCAGGGATCCTGCTTCTCTCTTTGCCTCTCCCTATGCCTGCCACTCCGCCTGCTTAAGCTCGTGTGCACTCTCTCTCTCTCACTCAGAAAAATTAAAAAAAAAAAAAAAAAAAGATTTAAAGTCAGCCCTGTTTAATGATTTCTTGCATATACCTTGAGACATTCTCCAAGCTTATGTAAGTCGTGTTTATATAACATATTGCTTATTCGTTTTTAGTTAAGTAAGATCATACCTGCAACACTTTTATGTTTTAAAAATTACTTTTATATTCATCAACATATTTGGGTATCTATCTTCTTAACTCTATTGTTTAAACATTTCTGTAGTTTATAAAACAGGCACAGCTAATTTCTATTTTTTCCTTCCTCAACACATGAGGTAATGGCTACCTTTATACACATTAGCAGGTGCACACTTTTTGGCTCAAAGACACAAGCCAAATGTTAAAAATCATTATTTGGCTTGAGTTTTCATCATAGAACAACTTTCCAGGCTATAACCATAAATATAAAATTTTCTCTGAAGGCAATTTTCATTGCAATTAAATATCAAAAGCTTAGATAAATGTAACACAATGACGTTACATTTGGGAGCATGAATGTCTGCACAGAGCAGCTGGTACATGGCTCTTGGGATCAGCATGCTGCTGTTTTGTCATACAAACTTTCTCTTCACCATGGGCGAATACAGAACAGGATATTTTTGAATATTTACTCTTCTCGAATCCCTTCTTATTCCTACTCCTTAACAACAATAAGAATTTCTTTCTGGGGGTGCCTGGGTGGCTCGGTGGGTTGAGGCCTCTGCCTTCGGCTTGGGTCGTGATCCTGGGGTCCTGGGATCGAGCCCCGCATCGGGCTCTCTGCTCCGTGGGGAGCCTGCTTCCTCCTCTCTCTCTCTCTGCCTGCCTCTCTGCCTACTTGTGATCTCTGTCTGTCAGATAAATAAATAAAATCTTTAAAACAAACAAACAAAAAAAGAATTTCTTTCTGTATCCAATATGATTTTCCATGAATTTTGTTAAGTAATATTCTGAAATTTTTCTTCCCCATGAAATTTCAAGGTGGCAAAACTGACATTCTGCTGTTAATTTACCCATGTAAGATGTGAAAAATTTCCATGTAGAATTTAACCTCAAACACTGGTAGCCTAAATGGAAATTAAATACCAAAACAAATGATTTAGCTCATTTTTAAACATCATTACATCTAAAAGAGGTATTCTGCAAAGATTTAAATTATGCTGTAATTAACTTCTGTTACATTTATATTATTATCTCAAATTTTATAAATATATATGAAGCATATTGCTTAAATTTTTGTGAATAATTTTATTAAAGTTCTCCAGACATTGTACTCTTTTTTTTTTTTTTTTTGAGATTTATTTATTTATTTTAGAGGAAGAGAGAGCATGAGCAGGAGGGACAGGGAATGGGAGAGAGAGAATCTGAAGCAGACTCCACTTTGAATGCAGAGCCCAACACTGGGCTCCATCCCAGGACCTGAGTTCACGACCTGTGTCATAACCCAATCAGATGCTTAACCAACTGAGCCACTCAGGTGCCCTGCATTCTTTTTAAATACTTGTAGTCACTACGAAATTTCCCTATTTATTTTATAATTTACAAAAAAAGAGCTTTAAAACAGAGACGGTAAGGATATAATCTCTCTGCTTGACTTATTTCTCTCAGAGATTATGCTGAGTGAAATAAGTCAAGCAGAAAGAGTCAATTATCATATGGTCTCACTTACTTGTGGAGCATAAGGAATAACACAGAGGACACTGGGAGATGGAGAGGAGAAGTGAGTTGGGGAAAATCGGAGGGGGAGAAAAACCATGAGAGACTGTGGACTCTGAAAAACAAACAGGGTTTTGGAGGGGAGGGGAGTGGGGGGTTGGGTGAGCCTGGTGGTGGGTATTAAGGAGGGTACATATTGCATGGAGCACTGGGTGCTCCTGGATCAGGTAAATGTTTTTTAGTTTTTGTTTTGTCTTGTTTTTGTTTTTTTGTGGTTTTTTTTTTTTTTTTTTTTAGAGCAGGAGTTATATGTCATTCAAAGTTCTGGAGCTTGAGAGGAATTGTGCTTGCACGTAATATTGAACACAGTACAACTGTCAGATGAAGGAACGTTGACTTAAAGGTATTCTTAGCTTAACTCCATTCTCAATTGACACCTATCTTTTTTCTTTCTGTAATAAAATAGATTTATTTTTAAAAAAGATTTATGTATATATTTTAGCGGGGGCAGAGGGAGAGAGAGAATCTCAAGCAAAAGCCCCACTGAACAGGGAGCCCAACACAGGGCTTGATCTCACAACCCTGAGATCATGATCAGAGCTGAAATCAAGTCAGATGTTCAACTGACTGAGCCACCCAGGTGCTCACAAAATAGATTTCTTACTAAAATTAAGATAGGTTTACCACTTTGGTTATACTGAACTGAGTTGCTTCTATTTGGTCATAAATTTGTAGCAAAGGGAAAGAATATTCCACTAGAATCTGCTTTGATGTGAATAAGGCAAATTATACTCAGTTTATTACCCGAAGATAATGGAAAAGATGGTGTTGTGTAGAAGTTGTGTTGGAAAGTTTCTACAGCTATATTATGCATCCATTCATTGGAACTTACAGCTTAAGAAGGGATAAGCTTAGTTTAAAAAAAAAAAAATGGAAGGTCAGCACAATTATGACAATGTAAGGTCACATTTTCTAGAGCAAATCTTTCTGTGTTGGGGTTGCATATCAAGCACTGAATTGTAAGGAATAGATAGAAGGAATAAATGTCTTCAGAAACATTCCCATATAAATGGTAGAAATTTTTTAACCCTCTTGAGGGAGCCTAACCAAGTATTTAAATGGATATCAAATATGTATTTCTTTTTTTTTTTTTTTTAGATTTTACTTATTTATTTGACACACAGAGAGAGAGAGAGAGAGCACAAGCAGGGGGAGTGGGAGAGGGTGAAGCAGACTCCCCAATGAGCAGGGAACCCCATGTGGGGCTTGATCTCAAAACCCCAGGATCATGACTTGAAATGAAGGAAGACGCTTAACCGACTGAGAGAACCGGGCCTCCCATTATCAGATATGTATTTCAAACCAAATGTTCACAAGTTGAAATGGACTGTAAGGGGGTACCCTGTGCAGCAATTGAGTCGTGGTGAATGCAGAATACCTCATCATCCAATGGTTCTTTACAAAATATCTAAACTTATTATCTTGTTAACATAGTACACTTAAAAGTATAGATAATGTCCAAGTACTGTTTAAAAAATTTTCATTCCATAAAAGCCTTTTTATGGCCATGTTG